CCCGGTAACCGAGGTCAGCACCAAGCACCAGGGGTCAGGGCTGGGTCCCCACCTGTGGACATGTACATCTGCGTCACCGAGTCATGGAAGCCCTGCTGATTCTTCCGGCAAGTGCTGGTGTCTCCGCCATGCGGAGGTTTGGAATCAAAGGCGACCACAATGGAACCTACGGCCGAAGGGCCGAAGGCGAAAGGCAGGAAAAATGGGGAACTACCAACTTGATGCTAAAGTAGCAATGGTTTATGAATTGAAATTCTATATCTGCTTCCATTTGCTGTATAAGTCCTGAAATTCTCGTAACAGAAAATCGACCTCCGGCTTTCCTGCACTGTCAGCAGTGTGGGCCAAATCTTGTGAGTTGTAATATGACATATATATTATATATATGATGTGACCATCTACGCAGACCTTCACTTCATCCATTGAAAAGTCTTTATTTTTTTTTATATAACATTTAAAACACGGTATTTTATTCCGACATGTCATGTTTACTCCATCCTTCAACCGCTCTGCTCTGCCTGCTTGCTCCACCATCTTCGGATCTTCCGGCCCCGTGACGATGTGTCGGATAAGCGTGTTGTTGCCTGCTGAAGAAATCTCTCAGCCAACGGGGGGCACAAGTTGTTTACGGTGACCAAGGGGATGGTTGCTTAAAACATAGGGTTCAGACAGTCCAGATCAGATGTTGACCTCAGCTTGAAACCATTGACTCAACTTAAGTGTCACACTGGGTCGTGACTGTGACCAAAATAAGTGATGCCAAGTCAAGGAGTTGCCATCTTTCCCCAGATCAAGGGCTTTCAAGCCCCGATCTCCCAAGTCATCGGTGGATAGTCATCCCAGAAATCTTCCAACAATATCTCACCCAGACAAAATGGCAAAAATTTGCTAGTACAAGATCCTTCAAGTGAATTTTCTCCAGTCATCCCCGGACTGCTTCTCCATGTTTCTCCACGTTTCATCCAAGGTTTTTGGAAAAAATCGGTCGGACCAAGTTGCTGCTGATCCAGGTTTCAGCCCAGCAAAGATCCTCCTTCCATTGCTGGCCCCTGGGAGTCCGAAGTCCACTCCAGCTGGTCATGGGAAGCCTCACCACCGTGAAGCCAGGGGGAAAATTGGGGAAAAACGGGGAGTTGTCACCAACCAAAACGGGGATTGGTTGGGAAAAATGGGGAGTTGTCACCAACAAAATCAACAAAAACATATAAAAATGGAGATTGAATCAAGAATGCATGGATTGATTCAAGGAAACATTGACCGAAAACACCAGATGCGTTTGTCCCAACGCGGGTGAAATTGTCCTGTATCTTTCCCTTCAATTCTGTGATTTCGATGGATGCCCCTTGTTGTTGTTGAGTACCTGTAGAGTACGCAAATCCTGTTTGACCATGACCACTCGACATCGCTTGGAAGAATTATGGAAGTCACACATGGAGTATATACAATTATATACATTAGTGTACACCTACTTTAGTCACTTTAGTCTTCTAAAATTGCTACATCAAACAGCCAAAACAACAAACCCAAAGCCACAAAATTTTCAGATCTGCGCCCACAAAATCCAATTCCAGGAGCATGTCCAAAGGATTGGAAGTTCCCGTGGGCCACTTGGCCCATGCAATGGAGTCCATCGCCGTGCTGCCCATGATGATCTCTGAATGCCAGATCTGATCAATCACCACCTAAGGCTTCGTTCACTGGGTTTCCTATGTCGGTGCTGGGAAAATGTCGCTATACTTCCAAAGTGTGGATACCTGGTTTCCTTAGTTTTGGCGTTACATCCTTACATCAAACTAGTGATTGGTGGCCCAGGCATTCGCAGCGGGTTAGATAAGCTATCAATCATGTATATCAAAACCTGGAGTTGTAGAACTTTGAATCTGGTTCCGAGATCAAGAAACGCAAATCAAATGCAATTTTGAATCGTTGTAGGCAATGAGCTTCATGCCATCTGCATAGGCACCAATTTATGCACACCGTGTCGCGCACGTGTAAATGTAGACTCAGATTGTATCATGCATATTATAGTGACTTAAAATAATTATGTATATATATATATATATACATACCATACCATACCATACCATACCATACCGGACCATACCATACCGGACCATACCATACCATTCCATACCCTACCTACATACATACCATGCCATGCCATGCCATGCCATGCCATGCCATACCATACCATACCGGACCATACCATACCATACCGGACCATACCATACCATACCTACCTACATACCATACCATACCATACTATGCCATGCCATGCCATGCCATACCATGCCATGCCATGCCATGCCATGCCATGCAATGCCATGCCATACATACATTACATTACATTACATTACATTGCATTACATTACTTTACATTACATTACATTGCAAAATACAATACAATACCATACCATACCATACAATGCAATACAATACCATACCATACATACATACATACATACATACATACATACATTCATACATACATACATACATTCATACATTCATACATTCATACATTCATACATGCATACATGCATACATGCATACATGCATACATGCATACATGCATACATGCATACATGCATCCATACATGCATACATGCATACATGCATCCATGCATACATGCATACATGCATACATGCATGCATACATGCATACATGCATACATGCATGCATGCATACATGCATACATACATTACATTACATTACATTACATTACGCTACACTACACTACACTACATTACATTGCATTACATACATACATACATTACATACATACATGCATGCATACATACATACCATACATTACATTACATTACATTACCTTACATTACATTGCATTACACTACATTACATTACATTACATTACATTACATACATACAATATATATATATATACATATTATATATCCCCTTTTTAGATTCACTCATATCTGATTTACATAAAGATATAGGTTATATATATATATATATGTTTCAAAAGAAAAACGGGAAAATCTTCCATCTCCCACAGATCCACCATCCTTTACCACGGCACCGCATCGCCGGAGCCTTCTGGCCCGTTGTAGACCGCACTGCGCTGTTTCGTTTCCCGGCGGTGGCGCCGGGCCACGACCACCACCGCGCCGTCCTTCAGCAGGATGGAGGGGTTGATCACGGAGGCGCCCAGGCGATGTCCTTCGGGATCGTGAAGTTGTAATCTCAGATCCACCTGAAGTGATTCATGGATACAAAGCATGGGATTTTGAATGGTTGATCATGTAATAGTTGCCTTTTTCAAATGGAGTGTTTGTGTCTATCGGAATGAAGACCGAATGACTTGTGAATCCTTCACATCCTTTCCTTTTTGTGCTCAAGACTCCTAGCTCCTCTATGTACCGTGCTCTTGTCCCTGCAACTTTCGGAGTGGGAGTTGGTACCTGGCTTTGGTGGTGGCTGGTCATAGTAGAACCCTGGACTAGTGATTTGGCATTGGTTGGAGTAAGTTCATTGGTTTGGTCCTGGACAGGGGCCAGTGATTACTTACTCTGGGAAGTGCAGCAGTGGCTGAATCTGGCATTCCAACTTGGTGGTGCGTGTATCCTTCTTCACTCCTGGCGAGAGATAGCTTGGTTGATTCGCATTTGCATAGACTTGGTTGGTGCGTTGTTTGATTTGGTTCGTACTCTGATCTCCTGGTATATTGCAGCAGAACCCCAGCTCGACGAAGTTGCATATAATTGGAGACCGGTGCCAAGCAGCTGGGGGCAAGCCTCAGAACGGGGTAGTGACCTAACCTGGGTTGGCATGGCAGCAGCTGTTGGGGCTGGTGCACCTCCAATACCTGTAGGTACGTTTGTTCTCATCTCCAGGCCTCCTGATTGGGACGAGGTTTATATAGCTGGCTACAATCCATCTGCGTCAGAGGCCCTATGCCGAACGACCAGTCCAGATGGAGCAGACTGGTGGTGGGTCATGATCCAAGTCTTGGGCTTGCATATGAGGTTGCCGGTTCTTGCAGCGGATGGCACCCGTGCTGCCCCTCATGGTGTAGATGGCGATGCTGTCAACTGGATTTGTGTGCCCCCACAAGGGAATGCCCAATGGAGACCTTCTCCAGCCGAAATTGTGAGCGTGTCGGCAGAAGCCAATTTGGTGATGATGCAGTACAACCATGGTCACAACTGGCCAGTGAATGTGCCTGGTGTTGGTGGCCCTTTGGTGTCAGTCCAGGCAGCTTTGGCTGGACCAGTGGCGCCAGGAGGTGCCGGCGTGGTGGGTGGCGCGGGTGGTGTCCCCGTGGCAGCGGTTCTGGGGCCCACCGATCAAGGCGCCGCTCCAGATGCATCAAGCCTGAAAGCTTTGGAGGCCGCGGTGCAACAGTTGCAGGCTATGGCGCTGAGCCCGGGTGGATCGTCCAGGAAGCCCGAGGACAAGAAAAAGAAAAAGAAGTCCCGGAAAAGCAGGAAGAAGAAGAAGAAACGATCCAGGAGCAGTTCCCGGAGTTCAGCCAGCTCCAGCAGTTCGAGGTCGCGCAGTTCCCGCAGCAGCAGCTCTGGATCACGCAAGAGCAAGCCCCTATGTTGGAAGGATCATGGCAAGGACCGGAAGGTTCACCAGGCAGACTTGACACATGTGGACATGCTGAAGTTCAAGAAGCGGGGGGACTTGGTGGCCTTTGCCAGTCGCCATCCAGGGGCACTCACAGCCCATTTTCTGGCCGGAATGTATTCCAGACTCAGCAAAGGGTCTTTGAGCCGGAGTGGCCAGTTGAGGGAGCCTTCAGTGACTGCGTGGGCCCATCAGTTCTCAGGCCTCACAGAGATCCGGGACATCAAGGAGGTGGTGACGCTTTCAGAGGTGTTGGATGCCGTGAACAGGCGGGAGATAGCTCAGGCCATGGATATCGTTTGCCAGCGCATTCTGGCAATCCAAGCTGCAAAGACCAAAGGCGGCAGCTGGGAGAAGGCCGAGGCAATAGAGCTGGTGAACAATTCCAAGAGCCTGGCCAGCACAAGCATGCTGGCGTTGACCAATGCTTGAGCGAAGGATTCAGAAGAGCTTGGTACTCTTTGGGGGGCCATTTGCTTGGGGCGTGCACTTTTCAGCGTTACTATTCTGTGATGACTAAAGCTTTGACTATCTGTCTGAACCAGAGGGGCGATGCTGGTAGCTTGCACTCTTGCATGTGGTTACTACAGCGTACTCTCAAGTTGCCAAGCTTGATGCGGGAATTCAAGTACAATGGAGGGCCGAAGGGTCGAAACCAGGGTAAGTCCCCATCCCAAGTGTTTCCCTTGCCGCCTTTGAGCCGCAGCGGGTCCATTGTGACTGGCGTGGGTGATGAGGCGGATGTTGACAATCTATGTGCATACTACGGGGGGGAATATGGTTGTGGCTGCCCTTAATTGGATGCATGGAGAGCGGGTAGAGCGCTTTGACATTCTATCTGCTGCTCATGGGCGGGTGCACTCTCGGATAGAGCGCATCTTGCGGGCATTCGTGATGACAGACATGCCCATTCTGGATCATGAGGGTCTGGATTCGTATTTGCGGCAGACGCAATGCTACACTGGTGCAGGTGTGGTGTTGGCCTTGGGGGTTAAGGGGGGCGTTCCTTCAAAAGCAGCTGATGTTACATTGGCAAAACATTTGGGGAATATGTATCCCGAGATGGGAGAGCAAGTTGTCAATCCTCGTTCCTTGTTACTTCCATCCAAGCGGAGACCCAAGAAACTGCGTCGTGGTTATACTTGGTTATCCCCTTCTTATCCCGAGCTTGTTAAAAGGAATGTGAAGGCGGGGTTGCATAGATACAAAAAACCTTCGCAAGTTGCCAAGCACAATGGGAAGAGAGTTTTGGCTGGGGCTTTTGCAGTTGTCAAAGATGCCGATGAAGACAGGGTCATCACTGACCCGGCAGTTAATCAACTTCTTGATCCAGAGAGACTTCCACGTCCAAAATTTGCGTATATTCCCATGTTACGAGCAGTCACAGTTCCAAGGGGTGGTGTTATTTTGGCGAGCAAGCGAGATGCTAGACACTATTTTCACAGATTGCAAATAGGTCGGCGCTGGGAGAAGTGGCTCTGCGGGCCACCAGTGCGGCTTGTTTCAAGGCGTGGTGATTATTCCGAAGTGTTTCCGGCATCTAGATCCACTTCCATGGGGTTTGGTCCTTCGGCTGGGTGGGCTCAGGGTTTGACTGATGTGGTCACTCATGATGCTGCTTTACCTGAAGACTGTAGGTTACATCCTGATCACGTTGTCCCTGGTCAGTTGCCCATTTGGGGTTCAATTATTGACGACATCTGGGCTCTTGAGCATGCAGATGAGCCTGACTCGGGGAACATTGGCCCTTCCTGGCTGTCTCAGGCAGAAGCTGCCTGGTGCGCGCGCGGGGTGGAGCCCAATGTCAAGAAGAGTGTCGACGGCCTAGCTGATCAAGAAGTTCAGGGCTATTTCATCCATTCCAGAGATCATTGGGTGGGTGTTTCCCTGGACAAGCGCAGATGTTTGTTTCAAGCCAGCATGCAGGTCCTTCTCAAAAAGTATGTCATTGTAGGGGTGGTGGACCGGTTGATTGGCAAGCACAGCTTCATGCATTCGTGCCGGCCATCGCTGAGGTCCATCTTCGATTGCACCTACCGTTGGATACAAGGCCTGCGTGAGAGGAGGCGTGACAGGGTCCAAATCCCAAATGATGTTTGGCAGGAAATTTGTGTCTCAACCATTTTAATTCCATTTGCTCAGTTTGATTTGTCGGCTTCGTGGAGCCACCGCATCGAATGTAGTGATGCCTCCATGACTGGATTGGGCAGAGCATTTGGCATTATTCCTCCACTGGTGGCGCAATGGTTAGCAAGGTATAGTTCACATCATGCCGTTTACACTAACTTGAAGTTGCCATGGGGTATAGGTCTGACACAGGAACACAAGTGTCCAATGAAAAAGGTTCACATTCCAGTCGAGCGTATTCGCTGGAAATATCTTGGGGTGCCGTGGGAATCAGAACACATCACTTTGAGCGAGGCTGATGCCATCGCGTGGACTGCAGAGGACCGTCTGCGCAGGCCTGTTGATGATGACAGTCGCTTCATCCATCCTGTTGACTCTGCGGCGTGTTGTGGGGCTTTCTCGAAGGGTAGGTCCAGCAGCAGCCGATTGAACAGCAGATGCAGAAAGGTTTGTAGCGTGAATCTAGCAGGTGGCCACGATGTGTTTTATCCCTGGATGTCCTCCGGGGAAAATCCAGCAGACACCCCGTCAAGATGGTATGAGCCAAGTTCAGCAGCTTCACTGCCGCAGGTGGAGTTGGCTTCTAGTGAGCCGGTAGCTGATCTGCGGGAGTTGGGCCCGTGGCCGACTGACACATGGTTTTTCATTCATTTTTGCTCAGGGTCCCGAAGAGATCATGATTTGCTGGATGAAATTGAAATTTTGGCGGGTGAACATGGGCTTAGCGTTGTCGGCATTGCAGTTGATCCGTTGGCGTCGTTGGATGGTTTACATTCCATGGTATCCCCTCCTTCGTTGCATGGTGACTTGTTTAATGTTATTTGGGGTGATTGGCTCATGCGGTTGATTCAGTCCAAAAGGGTTGCTGGTGCCTTTGGATCACCTCCGTGCAATACACTTTCCGCGGCAAGACATGTGCCGTTGAAGGTGGCAAGTGGCATGTCTCCCAGACCCCTGAGGAGCAGACAGTCTCCCTGGTATCCCTTGAGCTATTGCACCGATAGAGAAAGGTTGGCAGTGCATGTTGGTTCTGCCCTCTATCTTTTGGTGTTGGGGTTATTAGGCGAAGTTGCTATGACTGGGGGCTGGACTGGTTTGGGACATCCGGCAGACCGCGGAGAACCTTTACCTTCGTTTTTCGCCACAAAAGAAGTGCACAGTTTTTGTCGGACGTTTGGTTTGGTGTATTCCGTTATTCACCAGTGTCGATATGGGGCTCCAACCAAAAAGCCTACAGGGTTTTTGCTGCCGCGTGGATTGCATAAACTGCAGTTGCGTTGTAATCACCATCGTAAGCACAAGTGGTTGGTTGGTTTGGATAACTATGAGCACTTCGAAACTATTCCTGCAGCAAAGTGCCCTCGTAAGTTGTGCAATAGTTTGGCAACACTATTTGTGCAAAGCTGGTTGGAAGTTCGCTCTCGTGGCTTTGAGCGACCAAGAGCCCCAAAGTGCTCAGTTTCATATTTTCCTTCGCCTTGGCAGGGGGCTATTGATGGAACCTGGGCATGGCCTGAGCCGGTTACAGGTTTTCTTGTTGAGCTCGTTAAAGCCGTCAACAATCGAGAAGTACACCCAAGCTTTGCAAGACCTCAACAATGAGCTTGAGGAACAGAATGTGGTATGGGCTGAACTTACTGAAGAGGAACAAGACTACTTCCTAGCTGACATGTTGTTGGATGCCTATGAATCTGATGGGAGCCGTGTTTCTGCAGGTTGGTTGCTTTCTGCCTTGCAAAAAGTGTATCCCCGCCTCAAGCTGAAAGTGGCTTGGCGAGTCTTTGACACGTGGGGCTTACTGCAACCTTCACGACAAGCACCGGCTGCTCCTCCTGAGTTGCTGCATGCCATGTTTGCGACTGCTCTCATGTTGAATCGCCCAGTTCTTAGTGGCCTCCTCTTAGTCTGCTATTGCGGCCTTCTGCGAGTACGGGAGGGCCTTGGTTTGCGTGGACGTGACCTCGTGCTGCAGACAGATGGTTTGACTTTGTGTTTGGGTAAGACCAAGCGGGGCATGGAACAAAAGGTTGTTTTGCGTAATGGGGCTGTTATCAGTTACATGCGGTCTTTCTTTGAGCATTGCGGGTATCCGGCAAGTGATGAGTTCGTGTTTCCCATCTCATATGGGTCAGTGTTGCGCTGGGTCAAGCGTTTATCTGAACTCTTGGGGGCTAAGTCTTTGCAATTAACCACGCACACATTGCGACGTTCTGGAGCTTCTGAATTGTCTAGGCAAGGTATGCCTTTGGCAAACATTCTGCTGTATGGTAGATGGCTTAGTGAGAAAGCAGCTCGTGAATATATTCGCAAGGGGGAGGTGGCCATCATCAGGTCGCGTGGTTTACTGCAGGTGGAAGACTGGGCTCGCATTGACCGGTGGAGTGCAGTTTGTAATAATGCCTGGAAACTCTATCATCTGGTTTTCTCTCAGACAGAGGTGGCGTCCCTTCGTTTGGATCATGTCACCTGTGAGCGATTTCGGAGCTATGAGTCTTTGGTTTTTCAACTTTGCACTACTTGACAGTCTTGTGGAAATGTGGGAAGAGCCAGCGCGCTGTCAGATGGGAGTATTTTCTTTTCAAGTGACCTTCTGGAATGCCAGAATGTCAGCTGCCGTTTTATGTTTGGCAATGGCCAATCATACATACAAGTGCTTTAGCAAAAGGCACAGGTGCGGTGGCTTGCAGCTTCAGTCTTGATCCAGGCAAGGGCTTCAGCAGGTCCAGTGGAGAGATTTGACCACAAATATATATATATATATATTATAATAATCATATGTATATATATATATATATGTTTTATTGGATATCAATATATATATATATTTCATATATATATATATATATCAATAGGACTATGATGGGGAGAACCAATATTCAGGATTCACTTGGTTCAATGGATTGATAGGATATGATAGGATATGAACGTAACTCCCAAAAATCAGATGCCAAAGGTCATAAAATCCGACGAAAATAGTGATCAATTATACAGTATATTTTTTGTCTTTTTGGGATTACTATAGATGCTGATAGGTGGGTCTAAGAATTGTGAAACGCTTCGGGTTTTTTTGGCAGAAAAGAATGTTTACAATGCAATGGCAAGTTTTGGGTAATACCACGTGTTTGGGGCAAACCTATGCGAGGCATCGCTTGGAAGCAGAACCTGGATATTCATCATGAAAAGAGAGCTGTGTGGTTCGGAAGAGGAACCACATGATTCATCCGTAAAATAGATACCGTCAGGTAAGCAGCCCTATGGTTTGCTGGAAAATCCCACATTTGTAGATATTGATAGATGATTTTCCCGCCATTTATAAAACTCCATATAGGGCAATGTAGGGCAGAAATTTCCCATACAATTCATGCTCAGGATGCCAAGGCACTGTTTGGTTGTCAATCACCATCTGTGCTGGGATGTCCGGCAAGCTTCCATCGTAGGCGGGATCTGGCAGGAAACTGAAACCCACCAGTGCAGCACCCAATACGAAGGGCACAACAAGACGACCCTTCGGATGCGACGCCCACCATTTCCTCGGTTCTGAACATAGATCAATCCCAAATTTATATGCAGTCTGGAGAAAATGGACTAAATTCAGTTTAAAATCGTTACTAATTTGATATTGTGTGATACAGCATACCGTATACTTCACATCTAGTCTTCATCTTCGCAAGAACAAGCGCCAACGGCAACGACCAGCAGGACCATGGCCAACCCCAACCACCAAGAGGAAGAGAAACACAACAGAAGGGGCAGGACCACCAAAACAAAAAAATAAAAGCAGGGCGGGCAGAAGCCCAAAGCGCCAAAAGACAAACACCAACCACAACCGCCAACCACAACCTCCGACAAACACCAAATGCGGCGGACGAAAGCCCGAAAAGCGCTCGCAAAAGCAACACCAACGGCAACGACCAAACAGCGCGCCGAACGCCAAGAGCAACCAAATGCTCCGCTGCAACAAACACAGCACTGCCACGTCTTGCATCGGCGTGGGAGAGGGGAGGGGGCTGCTCGTAGGGAACAAACCCTTAGTGTGGACCCCGGGGTCCACCCCATGCCATGAAGTCTCACCCAGCCAAATGGTGCAAGACCCGGGGGACAAGAGAATGTACAATGTAACGAACATAAATAGTAAAACCAGAAATACAATTAATAGCCAATTGATTTGTGTTTAACCTCTAAAGTATCACAAAAGCCATAATCACCAGGCTAGCAAAACTCAAGAGATAACCAGACATATGCTGTAATCTATGTGCCATATGATTGTCAATAAACAATTTATATGCGTCTTGAATGTTGTTAAATGTGCCAATATTATATAGTCCCAGCATGTTCCAACTATATGATTAAACAACAATCTAAAAACAACATTTATAAGTTTGTACCATTTGTACCAACATAAAATCCATATAAATCACCATTGATAGGTGTGTACCAACATGTACCAACCAACAGTTCTCAGTTCTCACAAACAGCTACCATCAGCCGGAGGTCTGGATGGGTTGCTGGATGCAGCGCGCAATCAGGAAGGCGGAAGCGTAGGTCCACACCAGAAACAGCGCCAAGTTGACCAAGCCGGTCTGCGGCCAGACGGCGTAACACAGGAACTGAAAGACGTAAACCTGGCACGTGACAAGTTGCGATGTGTCGATGATTTTTTCCTTAGAAACTTTGGTCTTGATTTTTTCCTATGGGTTTTTGTTGTTGCATACCGTATTGTAGGTTGACTTAAGGTGATCTTAACTGACAGGGCTAATTCTTCTTGGATACCCAGCCCCGGATCTATCACTATCACAGCAGTATCACAAGCAGCCGGTTGACCTTGACCGGCGCCCCATGCGATCTGGCACAATTAATGTACATGGTACCCTCTGGGAATTAGCTTGTCATGATTGCCCCATTAAAACCTCCATGATCATAATCTGTATATATCAATAATCGAATAAAGGATGTTCCATCTGACCATCTTTGATTTAAGCCGATCCAGACATATTTTCTCCATCCCATGAGTTGTCCAAAACCCAGCAGCGCAGTAGGAATAGTTCTCGAGAAAGTCCATCTTGGAGAAAGCATAGGAGAACATCGGCAATGGCAAGCTGGGCAGCCCCGCTAAGCCAAATAAAATCATCGCTTGGAAGGGCAACAGGACCTGCGGGAAAATCGTGGCCGTGGCCGTGGCTGCGAACCGAACACGTGTTTAGATGGGCGAAGGGCTGTGCTTGGAATCGTGGAACGATGTTTTGAAGATGTGGATATTTAGTTCAATTTTGGTTTGTCTTGAAATGGGCTTTCCCTACATCCAATGGTTCATCTTAATGTACTCCCTCAAAAGCTGCGATTACATGGGGTTTGAAATCCTCGATTCTTGGACGCACACTAGTGTTGGCAAAAGAAAAAATGATGAGAGCTGCAGTGACTGAAAGCCCGATCTCTTGCTGAACGTCTCCACTGTGCAGCACCTGATAGCACCTGCACCTTAAAATGATGAATCTTAGATATCCATAGATATCCCTCAAACAAGTCCCATCTTTAGCTAAGTAATAAACTATTGATCGCTCAAAAATATAAGAACAAACATGTTCACCATCGTGTTTTGCCTTGCCCGGTTGACTCTGTGACCCCCATTGGGTTGACTCAGCCAAGGTGCAGAAATCCGAGCCGAGAGTTTGTAGCCCCATGCTCGGGCTTGAAATTCTTGAACGCTGAAGACCAGGAACAGCGCCTGTTTGTCGTGGCAAGGGCACAAAGGACGACGTCACTCCAGACATGACGTTCCAAGTTCGTTGTCTTTGAATGAAAATGTAATATATGTTATATAAACTACTGTGTGGACCTTTTTGATATATACATTTATATATAATACTCATGATACATATTCAGCATGTATCTAGATGATATCTGTTTCCATATTTCAACATAACGGCCTCCTGCATCCAAGGGGCCAAATAGCCCATAGGTGCCACAAACTGCAAGGCCACGTTGTAGGGATTTCGCCAGGAGAAGCAACCTCCGGTCCCGCGAACCCAAGATGATCCCATGGCTGACGTTCATTGATCATGTTTGGACGTATTAGATATTGTATTAATAGTGTATTTATTATATATTGTATATATATATATATTATAATTATTATATAATTATATAATTATATACAGTAATATGTTATATCATGTTATATATATATGCTACCCCCCCCCAAGACCTACCTATTTTGGGCTTACATGTGTCAGATAATAAAGTATAGATGGTACATCAAAGGTTTATTAAAGACAAATTAGATGGAAAACACAAGGTATGCTAGAGGTAGAGAGGTATCCTAAAGGTGTATTAAAGATGTTTTCATGGCCAATAACATGGTATATCTAAGGTAGATTAAATGGTATAGTGAAGTTTTATGCATTGAAGGTATATTTAAAGTATACTAAAGGCATTTTCAAGGCCAATTAAATTGTATATCAAAGGTAGCTTCAGATGGTACATTAAAGGTTTATCAAAGACAAATTAGATGGAAAACACAAGGTATGCTAGAGGTAGAGAGGTATCCTAAAGGTGTACTAAAGATGTTTTCATGGCCAATAACATGGTATATCTAAGGTAGATTAAATGGTATAGTGAAGTTTTATGCATTGAAGGTATATTTAAAGTATACTAAAGGTATTTTCAAGGCCAATCAAATTGTATATTAAAGGTAGCTTCATCGTTATCCAGTGGAATGTTACAGGTATATTGTATGGTATATTAAAGGTTTTTGTTTGTTTTTAGATGATATTTAAAAGGGGATATCAAGAACTTTTCCTCAGAATCTTGAATCTTGAATCTTGAATCCAGGAAAATTTGCAAACGTTTGCATTTTTTTGGGATTCAAGGTTCAAGATTCAAGATAATTTCTGGGGGTTCAATGTGTGTGTGTATGTGCACGTGAGTGTTTACATGGTTATTGGAATTCTATTATTTATATATATATGTATATGGCACCCCCCACAAGTCAACCAAAACATGACCCAAAACTGCAACCAAAAATATAAGCTCAAAATGTGCATAATTTACTGCAAATACCAGTATAAAAACCACAAAAAGCTAGGTCTTGGGGGGGGTACCATATATAATATATATATATATATCACATTAATATCATATTATAGAGTTGATATTGATATATATCCATATTATATCCAGTTAATATACAACATATCATATTATCCATATATCACTTAGATATATATCATTTGGGGTGCTTTAAGTTGATCTCTAAATTGGATCATGGAGGCCATGGAGGCTGCCAGTCAGGGCACCGTGAAAGTTCAGCGCGGCTTTCTTGTCCAAGAGCTGCCGAAGCTTGGCCAGCAGCATTCCCAAGATAAAGACCTCGTCGAAAGCTGGGGAAACCAATGGCTAAAAATAGTGGTATTAACCATGAAAAACAATGAAAAACGAAACCAATACGTGATTTTATAGTGGTATTAACCGTTAATAACCATGAAGACTGGTGATTTCAATAGCTTCTAACCATGAAAAACGATGATTTATATATTTTATATGAGATTTAACCATGATTTATATATTTATATGGGATTTGGCCATGAAAAACAGTGATTTATATGGGATTCAACATGATTCAACCATGAACAATGGTGATTTATATGGGATTTAACCACGAAAAAAAGTGATGTATATGGGATTTGATTTAACCATGAAAATCAGTTGTTTTGTATGACACACTCTTCAACTAATGGGATATGACCATCGGGATTAACACTGAAATTCATGGTGATTTCATGGGATTAACTAATGGGATGTCAATGGGATATCATTGTGGTTTAAAAACCATGAAAAATCATGATTTGGTGGGATATTAATGAGGGTATGTTGGTTTAAGGTGGATCAAAAATCGTGATTTAATGGGGGTGAACCATCGAAAATGGTGGTTTAGTGGGATATCAATGGGACATCCTCATGGTTTATGAGTAACCAACTATTACAGATTGCTTCCCCTTTCAGCCCTTATATTAAGCCCATGGATGTTCGGGGATGAAATCACGACCAGGACCATCGGGTGTCTCAACTCTCAACTGCTTTCAAGCAACTTTCTGTGAAGAAAAAATAGATGTAAGAATTCTGTGGTAAAGCCAATTTCATAAACCATCTCCAAGTCATCACCCTTTTAAAAAGGGTGGGATGGCTCACCGATTTCGACCATCGCCATCTAAGGGCGGAGCACCAGCTTTGCGATTGATTCATTGACAGATTCATTTGTGATTGACATTGGGCATCTTACATTTTGAATCACTTCATTCATTTCATATTCATTTGACCGCTGCGGGGTGCTCCTGAATGTGTGTCCAAAATTGGAAAGCTACAAAATCAAAAGCACCCTTGGGAAAGTTAGATGCTTGATGATGCTTGGATAGACAACCATATCACTTGTTTCTCTGCAAAGGCCTCTCTATTCCCCTTTGCCCTTGTCCAGAAGCCGAGTTGCATGAAAGTAGCAAATGGGATGGAACTTCAGCATGACAACACCAATATCCAAGAAGGTGTCGGTGGCATAGAATTCGTGATTCTCGCCACGTTCAAATCTTTCCACAGCTATAGGAGGAGGTAACAAGTTACTGGAGTTCACGGAGTATCATTGTGCCATCTTTACTTATCCAGGTGTTCATTGCCACAGAATCAATGACTGAGTGAGATTAAGGCCAAACAAAACAATGCCTTGGCAATTGCGTCTTAGTTCGAATGCGTGATGGATTTATGATGTGAATGATGACCAGGACATATACTGTACACTAATGTACTAAGTCCAGCAAAACGACAGCATTGTTTTTGCGAGTCCTTGTACCAGTCCACGTCCTCATTGGCAATGACTGGAATGAAGATGAGCAGCCAGGGCAAAAAGAAGAAGAAGCCCATGAGCAAACACGTCTTCAGCAAAGTGATGTTCTTCAGAACGTGGGACAAGGGTTTGAAGAAGAACCAATACACCACCATGCAGCCTTAGAAATTGGAAATGGTTGACGTACCTCCTGAACCAGCCAAGTAGTTGAATATATCAGCGTGATGATGTGAAAGTTCGAGCGACGGCAACTAGAGTCAACACCGTTAACACCAACTTGAATCACCATGAAGCAAGAATTGTTAGTAATTAACGTTAGTATATGTTAATATCAGCAATATGCTGCGATGTGCTGCATTTCAACCTCACGATCTGCTCCTTTCCACAATCATGCCTCCAACTTGCCAAAAAAAAAATCGACAAAAGTTATCCAAGTTAGCTCCCGCTGCCCAGCGGCTCAAGAACCAGCAGTGCATCTGCAGCGCGTTCTCCGTGAAGTGTGGCACCCAGGCCTGTAACAAGAAGCTCTGCGCCAGCAGCGTGGGCCATTCCGCCGACATGGTGCCGTAGGCCTTGCCGATGATAAAGGCCTCTGGTGCGGCCATGCCCAAGAAATGGCTGGATTTTCCATAATGAGACGTTGAATCATTGAATTCTTAGGGGTTACCATAGATTACCCATGATTACCATGTTCTTGGATAAACCGAAATGAAGGTCAGTTGTAATCCTCCTGCCATTACTGTTGGGATGTGTTTTTTCGAAATGAAACAAAGTTGCAACAACCTGACCAATTGTAATATGGTTGGTGACATCCCAATCTTTGTTGATGAACACCCTTTTTGGATGGTTAATAAAAAAAAGTGGTTAATACAGGTTAATGATAACTAATAGTTAATGGTTAATACTTGGTTAATCTTTGAACAAACATAATTATCCAAAGATGATCCAAATCTGCGAGTCCCAAGGTCGGCTAGGGTCCCAGGGGTCCACTGAGGATGAGCGGCTGGGATGAGAGAGAAGGCATATAGGGGGTAGATGGTAGTGCTCCTCCTCATGACGTACCTGGGCGGCTCAAAAAAAAAAAACGAACACGGTCATAAAATTCCATGTGCCAAAGAAATGCAGTTGTAGAGTGTTGTTCCGTTGTTATTCCCAGTATCATTCTCATCTATATCATTATGTTCAATATCATCTTTACGTGTGATGATTGAAATGGCCCACAGGCTCGAAAGGACGAAGATCTTGGCCTAGTTGAAAAAAACCGCAAGTTAGCACTTCAACAGCAACTTCCAAGGTGCTGAATCATGGTCTCCTCCTTGGGATTCTTCAGATATGCAGAGAAGAGGACAAAGCCGCTCAGCATGAAGAACCATGGCCTCATGGCAAAATTGCGCCAGTATGACCAGAATATACCAGAATCATGTTGCCTCGCGTTTCCCAGTCTAGCAGAGAACAGTGATGTTTGACAACGACCTTTCCTACAAGTGAGACAAGTGTAAGGCAATGCATGGCACTGCAAACTCGAATTTCGTGGATGGCACAACTGATTGGAGATGTGTTCGGCCTAACGTGGGCTTTATCTTGTCAGGGAGGGGTTCAAAAAGTCCCAGTTGCCCTACTTGGGGGTGCAGACCAGAGGTTAAGCATGGTATTTCATGGCATTTCAACTCATATTTCAAGCCCCATCACTTGGGATATAGCAGATATGAATTGAATCTTTCATCCCGGTGAACTCCACAAAAACCAAGGAACACCCAGGTGAAGCCCCAACCAAAGAAGTAGATGGGCTCAGTGACACCCTTCGCAAAGAGGTGGCCCACCACCACATGTGTGGAGCCCATGAACCTGGCTGGGCTCAAGGCTTCATGAAAAAGCCATTGGTTTAAGGGGAAATCTATGATTTCTCATGATCTTTAATTTAATGCTTTTTACCATGTGCCAGCAATGTTTTGGGGGTTCAACCATAAATTTGCCCCAGCATCCATTTCTAGGATTCACAGCATCCATTGAAATCCATTCTGACGGATGCAGCTTTACGGAATCAACTGGAAATCAATGGAAATTCATGGAAATTTCACCAGTTTCAATCCTGTGTTGGGGTGATTTGGGACATCACCACCGTCATATCATCAGAAATTATCAGATATTATTCATAGCAAGCATCTCATCAGACAGAACCACCATCCCAGATCTGTGTTCCTGCCTTGCGAGGCCCAATGGATATTTGTTTCCTGTGGAAGTAGCAAGAGAAGGCTCACAGGAAAATATCAAGGTTTTGCCTTGAAACTGATGCATTGATACCTGGTGAAGGTGATGCTATAGAGTAAAAAATATAATGGGGTGTTTCATTCTTTTGAACAAAAATGAAAAAACAAGTACGTATTTAAAAAGTGCCCTTTGTGAAGAATCTGCACAGGCAAAACGTGCAGTAATTAGATCTATTGATTTGGTGATGAAAAAAAAGGTGCAATTCAGATGATGCATGCCAAAAATGAAGAGAATCGTCTTGGTTGAGATCTTCATCAACCCATTTATCAATTTTCTGTGATACGGTCATATTGGCTTTGGACCCATCTTGAAATCATGGCATCATGGCTGCATCGGTCAAGAAATGGAGAACCCCCCAGTGATTCGATCACCGGTGCCATCCGGTGCCCAACCCATGGCGCTCCTGCTACCCTGATGTTGATCTGCCTCGCCGGTGCAATCTGCTTCTCTTCCTCAGTTGCTGAAAAAACACCCCTGTTCCGATGGTCGAAATTGCTCAAAACATAGGCTACAGAAAGAAGCGTATATATATATATATTAATATATATATATCCCGTTGTTGCTATATACTTAATGCTCATGTTTCCAACAAACTACATATAGTACATCATCCAATCTTATCCAACACACACACTTGCTAAAAAAAACACCTCGACCAAGTCTCCTCCACCTTTGGTGCTGCAGAAGGTTTCACAGGTTCTGGTACTTCTGGCACCTGGTGCGGCACCGGCACTTCCTCGGCCGCCTCCGATTTTGCCGCCTCCGATTTTGCCGCCTCCGATTTTGGTGCCTCCGATTTCAGCGTCACGTGGCTCTTAGAGCGAGGGAGCACAGCTGGAGCCGCGTCCAAGACATTGTTAAACTCTTCCTGGGCAAAACAGTGGAACAATTTGGCAGTGTGTCAAAACCGTGTACCCCTGGTGAACATCAAAATAGCTGGTAAATGGATGTTCATCCCACTAAAAATGGTATTAATAGGTATTGACCCATACCCATTTCTGAACCAACCTGGGCTGGGGGTTTCCTGCATACGGCTCCAAAACCGATGGTTTACACAGGATCCGCCATGGGAGATTCCCCACACAGGCGGCGTTGACATCCTTGTTGAACTGGCTTAGGGACAAACTCCATCAGGAATAATAAACAAACATATAATATAAACAGTATATAATGTATATATATATATATAATAGCCTCCTAGTTTTCTATCCCCCATACTTGACCCATGATGGTTAGTTTAATCATGCATCCTCATTGCTCGAGTTATCGCAGCCATTCCAATTGTTGGATGTTAGCCGTTCGCACTTGAGAGCAGGCGGAGGCGGACGAAAGGTAGTGTAGTGGGAGAGGAGTGGTGTCAAAATGCTGCGCCCCTAAGATGATACACCAAAAGACGTTTTTGCGCAGTCTAAGATGATTTTATCCAGAGCATGACTGCACGATACGGTGTCTTGTGCAGCGTGAAATGATGCACGAAAAATCACGAAAAGGTGTTTATTTAAAACCCCTTTTTAAGACCCCTTGCAGCAACTGTTATTGAGGCTGAAGCAAACCAATTATGCTGGACTACAGGGACATCTCCGTCATGGAGAGTGTGCCTCTACTGTGGAGGACCGTGACCGCGTCACCCGTGGGAATTGAACCCATGACCATTTTAGGGGGAGGGGGGGGGGCCCTTATAATTGAAATCTAATACACAACGTCGAGAATTCTACGTTTTGCACGGGCTGGCCCCCCAATACCCCCTATGATTGTGCTGAAGCACGGAGAACTCAGGTAGCTGACGCTACCTTTCGTGACTTGCGACTAAGACACCTCCACTTGTGAAGCTGCACGCGATGCAGCGGCTCTCTCTGATTTGACATCCGGGAAATCCGTCTTTTGAGTCTTGGTGCTCCGGTACGTCTTGGTGCTCTGGTGCGTCTTGGCCGTTTTCATCTCATCCTGCTACCCCAGGAATTGTACCAAATTCAAATAAAATGACAGTATATCATGGTATATCATGGTTGATTTCCCTCCGGATAACCCTACGACAAAGGGTGTGGGCATCCTCTTTTCCACACCCATTTTGACTCATGTTGCTATCATGTGTATCCAACCAACCAAAAAGATCATCCCAAAACGATCACCCGAAATTCCTCATGGATCTCCAAGGAAAAGTCCAGGTCGTGTTCGTCTGAACAGGCTGGGCTCGCAGGTCCGCTCTGCACTTGGACACTCTTGGCGCCCTCGCTGCGGAAGAGGGCAATGTGCCGGGGGCCCTCGGCCGGAAGCCTCGGAGGACAACAGCTGGGCGTAATTGTAAGTAGATTATGAAACTCAGTAAGCCCATCTAACTATAGTTCTATCTGTTTAGATCATTTTGGGCTAAAGTATATACTATCAAATATTGACCCGTCTTCTTTTTCCAGCTCAGCAGCTCCTTCTCTTTCACTTCCCCTTTCTTTGGTGCAGCTGCTTGTTGCTTCTCCCTGAAATGAAGGAAGATCTTGAGGGCTGTGGCCAAAAGGAGCGCAACCAGCGGCAGGACGAATTCTAAGGACGCGTTGCACCAAAGGCGGGTGCGCAAACCTGCACCAAAGAGCGGAAGTTTGCCTTGCAAACTGGGGCAGTTTGGGGATGTTTTGACGTGAGCAAAAATATGTGGATCCAAAGCAACCAACATTTGGTGATTCCATCATATTCGACCAATCAAGACTAGGCGCTTTACCAACAGAGTTCGGATTCGATCAATGGACTTATATACCAAGGCACAGATGCGGAATCAGCCAAAGTGGGGATGTCACCAGCAGTCTTTACCACCCAGTTTTCTTGGTATGAGCCATGAGCGATTTTGAACCCATCCCCAAATGCATATGAAGCCCCTGATTTGGAGTTGATCACAAAACATCGTCCATTCATGTCCATTCTGCGCCAAACCATGTAAAACAAATGTGGCAAAAGTCAAACATGTGCAGAAAGTCACCATGGGTGTGTCTGAAAATGTGTACAATCCATGTATATCCTCCAACACCGCCATTTTTCTCATTGGGAAAATGATGATAAAGTATGATAAATTAAATATATATATATATAAACAACAAATTTGGTGTTCTTTTCCTTAGATGTTCAACCGAAACCCACCATGGGCCTTGATTGTTGTGGCAGGCATCTGCCATCTGCACTTCTTCGGTAGCTGCCACTGCCAGGAAGGAAGAAATATTGATGGCATCCGCACAAAGTCCTGCTGGCTGAGGTCTACCCTGTGGGATATCTACCTGCTTGGAAATGTCCCATTCGGAATGATTCGCGTCTAGTTTCACCTAGCCATCAAGGCAAACTGCACAAGGGAATTGCACACTGTCCCACTTGAACAAGTGGCTGAAGCTGCTTCAAAATCACCATGCAAGTCTCAAAAACCATCACCCTCACATCTGCAATCTTTCTTGCACAGGTAATCTATCAATTCGGAAAAAATTGCATCTAAACTGTCTAAATTGTCCAAAACCCTCTCAAGTGGATCATAACCATCCTGCAATGCTTTAAACATGTTAAAGGCCTACCGAATCTGGCTCGCAGATCAACTAGCAACATCGCCAATACCCCACCAGTGCCTTCCGTATTTCCAGCAATGGGTGGATCACCCGCTTTCAGGGTGCAAGGCACACTGTTCATGCCTGTCGGCTCAAGCCAAAACTGACGAAATCTGGCGAAAAACCAGACGAAAATCCACCATTTGTAGATCATGTTCCAAGATTTTCCAAGGGAATTCCATGGATTTCAACAGCCAAGTGGCACTCCCACTTTTCGCAGCGCGGTCCATCCAAACAGCTGGGATAGTAGTTGGGACAGTTCTCAAAGCGTGCCTGCGCTGGAGATGGCCGAAGGATTCATAGGATTCCACGATTCCGTTACAACAAGGATCATTAAATAATGAATATAATATTACACCCATATGCTCCATGTATGGAATATTTACCTACATTTACCCCAAAAATTGCCCAAATGTAGGTAAATATTCCATACATGGAGCATCTGGGACAGTAATGATCATTAAGAATATTATAGGATCATTATATAAATAATGACAATATCATTCATTGAATATTAATCATTACAATAATGTAAACGTTGGTTTGTTTTCTGGTCAACGTATGTCAACCTCAGAATTGCTGGTCCAAAGTCCCATTCGATATTCCTCGCCTCGGTTCCGGAGCACAGGTTGCCCTGCCAGGTGGCATAGGACCCACTGGCTGCCATTTGAGCTGGGCACATGGCATTGAACATCACGGTCCACACCTGGTTGCGGGGGGATTTCAACTGAGGGGAACACCCCAATCCTGCTGTGTGAATAGCTGGAAAGTAGATTTTGAGCTTCACCAAGGTTACAAATGGTATCAAATGGTTCTAATATATATATATATAATTATGAGCGGTTCAATCCTAGCCATCCTAGCCATCGCCATCATTTATGGTCAGGTCATAGTGAGCTTCAAACAAAACTTATACATTTTAAATATGTTAATTCTCCAGGTCGTTTTTTGTCACCCTGGCATTTTCACTGGCCCGGCTCGTCATTCGCACCATTCGCATCCATTCGCGCTGAATATCAGCCATGCGACCCACAGGTTCAGCATCTGAGAGCCATGGCCATTCACCACCTCCTCCGGCATAGCCCCACCGAGACGAAAGAAATCCACCAAACGGAAGGAGGAAGACAGGCGACTCGCCATGGCCTGGGAAAATGTATTGTCAGATGATGGCAGGTGAAACAAGGGGCACCGATATGTGATACGTTGATACATACTTTGCGTGTATATATATATATGTATATATGTACATATTTATATATGTATATTACTTTACTGTATGTAATGTCATAATAGACTTATTTAATGATATCAAGTCAGATTACATATTGTCATATAATACGAGCATTATATAAAACATATATATATGTGTGTGTGTGTTTCGTTTCATGTCATTTACATAAGTACAAGTATGTAATCATATTTATACATATTGCTACATTGTGTGCATCTAAATACATACATGTATATCTATATATATATATATACAGATATTGTTGACATTGTTGTTCACAAATATATTATATTATATTATCATATCATATCATATTATATTGTGTTATATTATATTGTATTATATTATAATTATATTATATTATATTATATTATATTATATTATATTATATTATATATACTATATTATATATATTGTATTACATATGTATATATATATATATATATTATGTCATATCAATACATTATACACTATTAAACGTATATAGTTATAAGATAAAAATCTACCATATAAATATAAACATATATATATATATATGTATATTCATTTGAATATCTTGTTGTATTTATATAAACATATACATGTCATACTATTAAAAATACTATACCAAACTTTTGCGATCGATTGTGGGGCTCTGGACCTGGATTATGGGGTCTCCCACATGTGGTTTCATGGACCTTTTTCTTTACATAAATCAACCTGAATCAACCCTTCCTTCGAAAGGTTTTGATATATGGCGTGTTATTTCGAGAGCCAACAAATCAAGATAGTAACAATCCCCAAAAAACTCAAATCTGTCAAAGGTTCAATTTTGTTGGGATCTATTAAGCCTTAAATTTTTCAGGAACTTATTTTACGGACTTTGTGGACCTTTTTTCCGTTGCGGCCGATTATGGGGCATGAGACGTCCTGAGATCTGCTGGAAAAAAAAAATCGTCGGAACTTTGAGATCCTGTGCCCCCGAATCGGTTGCATTTTTCCTTACGGACTTTGTTTTTTTCGGCGGAACTCCACTACACAAGTTGTGTACCTGACTTCTGCTGAAAAAAAAAAATGGCGGAACTTTTGGGGGCCTGTGCCCCCGAATCGGTTGCATTTTTTTTTACGGACTATGTTTTCTTTATTTGTCGGCGGAACTCACTACACAAATTGTGTACCTGACTTCTGCTGAAAAATTTGTTTTCGGCGGAACTTAGTATTCAGACCTATGGTTCGGCGCAACTCAACATCACAAAATGTGTAGTGGACTTCTGCTGATTCAATGATTTTCCCTAGGATTTCTGCTGATTGTTTTTTTCGGCGGAACTCAACATCACAACATGTGCGCCTGAGTTCTGCTGATTTGTATGGATTTTCGGCGGAAGTTCATAAGTTTAGTAACAGAGCGTCCCCGCAGCATTTTCTCTCCCTGGCTTGTTGCTGTGCTACTTTTGACCCAGCTGCAATGGAAGAGGATTGGAGTGAGCCTGAATTTCAGGACACTGAATTCATAGTATGCCCCGTTTAATTGATGGACTCCAGGTCCTCTAACATATATTCTCAAGTTTTTTGGGAATTAAATCTCGTATGGGAAATATCACCGTGCCACTTCCTTCGAAATGGGAATGGTGTGTTATTCTCTATTATCTTAAATATAATCAATTATATTTAGTATGAAGGAAGTATATGTTGATATTATATCACATGATCTATATATCACATGATCTAAATACAAATACATACATATATATATAATTATATAATCATATGCGTGTACCTATACAATATTACATAGCTATAATTTCGTATGGGTATAATATGGGGTTCAAAGGATCCAAAGTGATGTCCCCCAATCAAAATCCCAAGCCCCATAATTGACTGCAAAAGTTTTATACATATTGGAAATAATATTTTGAACCCGCCCCTGTAATTGCTGTAGGTATGAAGAAAACCTGACCCCGAATAGTAGAACTATAGGCTATATAGAAGGGACAGACCGAGTAAAGCAACAAAGTCTCACCAAACAAACTTTGCATAAGTTTGGGTAAGCACTTGGAGCCTCAAAGTTCAAGGGTTGCGGATCCGTAATATGTTTACCCATATACATTACACAGTGTAGTTGCTGATGAAGCCATGTTTCTTGCTAAACTGTTCGTCCTGAAAAAAAAATGAAATTTCCCCAGAAATCCGCCATTCTGCCCATAATTCCCAGGGCTTGGTTGCCTGTTCGATGTAGCTGTTCATGATCTGGAAATTCTCATTGTCCCGAACTCCGTTCGTCCACGAGATCGTTTGCACATAGCACCCCAGCTGGCTGGCCCTGCCACCGCCAGTGCAGAAGGGCTCCATCTGGGTCAAGACCACCTCCATCTCATCCTGCAAATTGCTGTCAAAAT